TACCTTGGGCTTCTTGGCCTAGCAGTTGGTTTCCTATGCTAGTGAATCAGATCTTTGGCTTTACCGTGTTACTATTCGGAGAATGGACTCTGTTAGGGGTGATCTCTCTCTATCTTAAGTCAGTCATTTCTACCGGCTCCGGCTAACTTCCTTTAGGAAGGAAAGCAAGTCCCATCGATTGAGCTGTTGATGGAATGAATGGAATAAGGGCTGCTTTCAAACCTTAAAGAGGTCGGGAGCAGCTATTGAATTTGTTGATGGCGATGTGATAATGCCAGTCGAAAGGGAAAGGCGATGACTATCAGTTCTTACTCTTTTTCCAAAGGAAGCGAGTGGTCTAGCCACTCCTTTCTTTAGTATCCGAGGTCGGCTCTTCTTTCATCTGGAAGAATATGTCTTTCACCTTTCCTCTCCTTACAGTCGAGTCAAACCTCTCCTTGCTATTGTTCTTTCAAATAGTTATCCCAGTCCTGCCTGTCCTGCGGCACATGCGGTACCCGCTCTTGTTCTTGATGTGGCTCTTTCGGAAGTTGCGGAAGATAGGGATAGATGCTCCTGTTCTTTCTGCGGCAGTTGTGGATGCGCTTGACTTCTATCGGAGTATCCCAGTGCAGCTGTCTTGTTCAAGCTATGGATCTTATATAGAGAAGGAGTGTGAAAGCTAGCTCTTGAAAGCAGTGCGAGTTAGGCCCGAATCCAATCCCTGAGATTGGAATGAGATATCGAGAAATTCATTCAACTTAAAATCAATATTTTCTTTGTGTTAAGGGCACATAGGGAAGTATGAAAGTATGGGTATCCCGCCCGTGTTAGCTCTTCTTCTTCTGCTAAGGGTCATCCGTAGCTTCTTTGCTTTGAGCGAATCCCCTTTTACGAATTATTTGGATTCAATACTCCCCGCTCTTTTGTCAACTGCAACTGGAAACTGGAAAATAGAACCTCTTCATGGCCTTATTTTAAGCCCTGAAGCCAGCTGTGCCATTTTATATTGGCATCGGCCTTGGGTTTGTTTGAAATCGATGCATCTTTATTTTGCTCTTTATAATGGGGACTTTTACAGCCATTCTGTGTAACGGATTGGTCTGATGAATTGAGCGTTCAAGAGGCGCTCGATTTCTTCTTTCACCCTTCCTGTGATATCAGGAGACATCTGCCTGGGTGGTTGCTTGGTTGGTTTGTGCGGCACAGGAAAGAAGAAGGAAGAGCACAAGACATAGGCTTAACCACGTGAAGGAAATGCTTTAACCAACGATAGGCCGTAAGGAAGAGGATCGGAGGAAGGCAGCAAGGTTTAGCGAAGCCATCAACCTTCGCGATTTATTTCGATTTAGGTTAGCCATTGAATAGCTTCATTTCGAACTATATCCGAATCCAGACCAAACATTCAAAATTCCATGGCATTTTCACTTGATTTTAGAAAAATCCCCCACCGGCTTCAAAACTAGCTATTCTGCTGACGATTTTAGCCTTTATATATCACCCCGAATGGAGTACTCAAGTTGAACCGGGCGGAAATATCCTTTGGAAGGGTCTGTTCGAGAACTTCACTCTAGGGTGATTCCAACCTCGAACATCGGTTTTCTAGCTGCCCAATCTATATGGAATTGGGCTAGGCCAGCTACTCTCTACCCGCGTTGGTCCATTGATCCCGAGCTTACGCCCCGCCTATCCGCTAAGGCCCACCTAAGATCTCTTTATCTGAGGCCCCTCACCTTCCCGTATCTAAATCTTTATCATGGTCTTATTCATACTACCTAGGGGATAAGATAGTGTTCCAGAAGAGCTTTTTGCCTACTTGCTTGGTTACAGTGTTTACCCGAAAAGATACATTACATTTCAGGAATCCCCCTAGTTAGTTACCAGGGAGTCTCTTTCCGCCCGCCACGTACACGTATACTTTACGTACACAAGTGGTCGAGCGAGAATAGACGATGCAGGTCATTAAGTGGGACTTTTCTTTAAGGCATTCCTTTCCGCAAGCCTCTTTTCATTCTAGCGGTCAGTCTGTAAGTGAAACTCAAGTCCATCCGATCAGCCAGTTGCAGAATAAGCTAAGCTCGCCAGCCAGTAAGCCCTCCAGCGGAACGACGTTGCTTTGGCGTCAAAGCGTCAATCTGTAGGTTCGGTCTAAGATCAGTCTATTGCTACTTACGGTGATAAAGAAAGGCCCTTCGAACTTCACTATCTGGCATCACAGCCTATTCCGACAACGTGCCAAGCAAAAGGCAACGGTATGCCGACAACAGAAGAAAAGGAGCAAAGCCATAAGCCAAGCTAGCGTGCTGAACAGAAAGTCGTAGAGTGATCACAGCTTATTCACCAAGACGTGTGAACAGCGCCTATTCGATAGCAGCTTGTACCCTTATTCCGATAACAAAGGGAATTCCTCCTAAAAGAGCTGATTCAATCGGGTTATCAGCTTCGGCTATTCTCACTGCTAGCAATCCAGTTAGTTAGGTCTAGTATGCCTATTCCTATTATATTATACAGTCTGACTAAGAGTTCATAGTATCTATCTGAGAATGGAAATCAAATAAAGCGAAAAGGAGAACGAAAGAAATCGGGAAAACTGCATGCAATCGACAGCCAAAAGAGAGAAGGCAGTCGCAGCACACTCTATATCTTACCTCGGGGCCCAGAGTCAATTCCCTCGCCTGAATCTTGAATAGAACTAAGCCCCAAGAATTCATAAATGAGCCTCTCTGCCGCTGTGCAGTTGTTCTTAACAAGGCAGCTATTGAGTTATCGTAAGAGAAGTGAATCAATCGTTACGAAGCTATAAATGAGCGGATTTGAATCCAACCGTTGCTGATTGTTCCACGTATCTGCGTTCGAAGATGCTAGTACCATTTCCAAAGAAGAATTCGTATCCAAAAAGGTGTACCAATAAATAAATACTAAATAAAAGATGTGTACCAGAATTGCGTTTGAGGGGGTTCTTTGAAAGGGCAAGCATCGTCGTCAGCTTTGGACATGCCCACTTCCACAATCTGTAGTTCTTCTAATGTATAAGTAGATTTTTTTACGGAAAGAAATAGATAAATTTGCTGAGTCTTCCAATTCAACTAAGCCGGAAGATAAATGAATAGGATCTCTAAGATACAAACAAATTGACCCTATAAATGACTCTATCTTTCTTTCCAAAGTCCAAGATATTCGAATGGAAATGGAAAATAGAGAGAGGTACAAAGTGACTCGACTGAAAGGAGAGGGGAGAATAGACTCGACTGAAAGGAGAGGGGAGAATAGACTCGACTGAAAGGAGAGGGGAGAATAGACTCGACTGAAAGGAGAGGGGAGAATAGACTCGACTGATAAGGAGAGGGGCTCGCTTGACAGAGTGTCGAGCATTGTTCGTCGTGCTAGTTCCGCTACTGCAGTTCCCGTGGTAAAGGAAACCTTCTTTCTCTTGCTTTCGGGCTTACTAAACGACCGGATAATCAGCTAGATCGATTCCAAACATGTGATTAGTAGCTGATTCAGTAAAAAGAATAACTTATTATTATATGATGATATCTGCACTGCAGCGAATTCAATGGCCTCGGTTGGCACATTCTTGACTTGAAAAGAGAGAACTAAACTAAGAAGATGGGCCTTTAGCCTGCTATTTCTTGTTTATGGCCAGGCCCAACTACGTATATAAGTGAAGACGAAGACGAAGACGATAAAACAATGTACACATTTGATCGTCTTCTCTTTCCGCTAAAGGCTGGGACTAAGACTGAGATTCCAATCGCATAGAGAACGAGAAGGTGAGTCAATGCTATTACTTGGTTGAGGTAATCTACGAGATCAGGTTCGAGAGCCGGGCGTAGACTAAGATCAGTATGCCTCCTATGTCTTTGGCAAAGCCCAGGGATTTTATAATCGGTAGAGTTCCTTCCTCTGCTCGTAGAAAGAGTCCACGCTAGTGGTTCATCCCTGATTCTCTTGTTATCCGTCTCGTTCCCTATTATACGATCGACGAGTGAGGGAGCTATTAAAGCAAGTCTGAGCGCCTGGCTCCCACTACTTCTGAGTCAGTGAGGTGGCGTAGAACTCAAAGTGATGTCATAACTGCCTTTTCCTAGTTCGGAAGGAAAGAAGCGTACTACGTGAGGCCTCGCCAATTGATAGGGAGGACCAATATGATTTCCCAGGCGTATAGTAAAGTCTTGGCGCCCTTTCGGGGTCTCTGGTGTCGAGTCGCTAGAAGAGGAGCATTGGGCAAGATCACAATAATATCCGACGGAGGGGGCAGAACCACCATATTGTTGAGAAGACCCACTGTCTAGGCTATTTATATTATAAGGGATAAGGGGATGACGTTTACCCCAAGAAAAGTAGTCTTGTGACTAGGAACGTGAAAACAACGAGGCTTTAAGTGAGTCGAGCTTACTTTCGTGGAGGACAACAAATAGACAGGGTGAAAAAACCTATAGCTTTGACTCCATTCATGTTATTCTTTGAACGATTGTGATTCCAACATGGAGAGTGACAGGTCTTTTGATTGATAGAGCCAGAGCCCTTCGTACAAGGGTATAAAATTCCCAATGGGAGAGCATGCGCCCAGAGAAGAGAAGCGCTTAAGCAAAGAAGGTTGACTTGGAAGTTGTTCAGTTAGAGAGAGGACGCCCCAAGCCAATGGTGACCGAAAAGCACCTTTTTTTGCTTTTGCCTTGGATTCTATCGAACACTTTGAGTGCATCTATTAAGTACATCTACAAGACGATAAAACAGAAAAAAAAAAGTACACATTTTTTGCATCCTCATGATATACCGTCTTGAGTTCTTCACCTAGTTAGCCTCCTCGTATAAGAGTAGAGGTGGAGGGAATGCTTTGTGCACTTTCAAGTATGTTTGAAGGAATTGAAGTTATCCCAATATTCAAGTTTCGATTTAGGCTAAAAAGCAGCAAGGATCAATGAAAGCAATGTACTGGAAAAATCCCTTGCTAGTGCTGTACTGACTTACTTGGTGTATTGCTAGCGGACTGCGAGAGCGCTTCGTGAAAGAATCGTGTGGCGTGGTGAAAGGTTTCCCGTTGGGATTTCCGGCCCCCTTGGTCTTCACCTCATTTTTGAAGAGGGGAGGTGAGTGGATACTCAACTCTTTCTCTCGCGCTTTTATTCAGCTTGTTCCTGTTCGTCTATTCGGGACGGGGGCGGGCAGCCCACATACATGAAGAGAATAAGAGGGCGGGTTTGAAAAGATTAGAAATGAGGAGGATAGGAGGAGCATTTTTTCCTTCCTTAGTGAAGGCATTCGGCATGAAAATCGTCCCCTATGAACCTAAAAATAACTCTGCTTTAGCAAGAGCTATAGCTTCTAATTCGGATTCAGGCTATTCTCGCCTTCTTGTCTAACCTAATAATAACTAAAATCAAGGAGTTTATCTGAACGTCAGTTTTCCATTTCAAATCTAAATCTCGTCCATGCATATCTCCACATTACGGCATATCCCAACATCTCGGCGTCTCGTCGGCGATCTTAGCTGCTTCTTCGTTCGCTACTAAATGAAATAGTCAATTCCAATGTACCCAGAAAGAGAAAACAATGAATCCCGCTGGAGTGTTAGAACATACGAATAATGTTGTAACCTCCGAATCACTATATCCGTAGACATCTACGAATGAAGAAAGATCTCCGACAGTACGACATCGTAGACAGTAAGATGTCGTTCAAGAGCGTTTGCCGAAATGCTAGCCGTTGGAGTCTTTGACTCCTGGAATGTTTGACTATTGAGTTTGTCCCCAATGTCGAATTTCGTTTTTGTACTGCCGGGTGGCCTCCACCTATTCCTTTCTCGTGAGCTTCCTTTCCCGTGTAGAGGCGCCTATTCGTGTTTAGCCCTATATTGACTCATTTTTTTTATTGAGTGGAAAAGCTCTCGAGTTGGACGTCCCATCCGTACTTTAGAAGCGGCCAGCTAAACCAGAACCAGACTTTTTATAATGAATCCGATCACGCGAAAAACAAATATCATAAGAGAAGATGCCAAAAGACCTCTCTTTGTCGATGCTATCACCCTTCTACTCCCATCGGAGTTCTTCCATTGATTGCCTTCCAACTCTAACATCTGACGAAGGCCTTTGGTCCTCTCACCTGCCTTGCTTGCCTTCGAACATGGATTCGTACAAGATCCCTCTTTGGTCTAGGCTTGCTACTTCGTTCTGGGCTGGCCTCCTCATTCGAAGATGGAGAGGCCCTTCGCAATGTATGAGACGACGTCCTTCTTACCAGAGCTCGGGCAAGCCTTCTTTTATTGACATCGAGGCGGGGAAAGATTGGCTTTATTTCTTATCATACGATATTTCTTGTCCGAAGAGAAAGCAAGCTATTGCGAATCCAATTCGTGCGTAGTTGTTGTCCAACCTCTCAAGATTCACCCTTGCACGTACCTTTCATTCCTGAATAGGATTTCTCTCCTTCTATCGCTTACATTTCGTTCTCTCATGGGGCTCCATGCACGCACACAAGCATTCTCTATTTGTTCTCTTTTATCGGGCCAATGCGGCACATTTCGTCGGATCGTTCTGCCGCGGAGTCTTCCGTTGATCTCTACACACGTGCGGGTACTTCACTTTTGATTTTGCACTAAGTTACTTACGTTACGGTCTTCAGCAGGCAGGCTTATACCATTATGCTCACGAGCATAATCTTTGAAATTGTCATTTATTCACTTAAGGAAGACTGATATAGAGGCTTTTCCCGCAATCGGATGTGAGTGGGTCTTGGAAGGAGGTGTGGTCCCCAATCTCCTAAGCAAATGTTGTCGTGTCCCCTTCATCGGGAAGAGAAAATCAAGATAGAATGCCGATCCTCAAAGATGAGAAGCGGCTCGCGCCTATCTATAGTAAGGCCCTCCGCAGGATGAATTCTTTTCCCTTCACAAGGGAGGGGTCTGCTAATGGAACCTTTTCCTTTCCACTCACTATAAGAAAATCCAATCGTCTCGGGGATTACTACTTTGCTCTTCCTACCACCCACACCCGTACATGCTGCTTTCTAGTCTTCTCCACCTAAAACGGTAACGGTTGTTGGTGTCCGCTCATAGCTTGTTGTTCCTCAACCTGATTGATCGTATATATCACTCTGATCACCTACCAGTACCAGGCTTGGCATTCTCAGGTGGGTTCGCCCTTTATCCTTTATGTGATAGGGGCCGGTTGTTTATGGCTTTTCCATTGAGCGTCTTCGAGTTCGACCTAGTTACTCTCTCTCGCCTTTTCGAATGATGATGAAAAAAAAAACATTGAAACCCTTACCTGCTGCTTAGTCTGTTGATTAAGATGTGGATATTGCAGATGATGATTTGGATTGCACTTTCACTTATACGCCCACCAACTTCCACCTTAGCTTTCACCAACTAAAGGAAAGGGGCACAAGTAACATTTTCACTGCGAACTTAATAAACACTTCCTTCCCGGCTACGCACTATGATCCCCGGTACCAGATCGTACCATCATAAGCGACTACCCTTTTTTGGTTGTGGTGTTGTACCACAAAAATACTTTTGAAAGCCGTTTCCCTGCCATAGTAGGCATATCTTTCCGGGGCAGATGCATAGCAAACACCCCTTTTTTTAGTCTACTAGTCATTCAATACTATATACCTTGACATGAGACAGTCTAGCTCACTTCCGTATCGCCCTAATAGGGTGAAAGTCATTTTGATTTGATTCTGCGCGCTCAAGACGCTTGTGGTGCTAACTAAGTGTATTGAGAAAAGGAGGCTCGTACTACGTTCGAAACCATTTCAAACCAACCCACAAACAGAGACATGCCTTTTTCAAAGCATGGGTTCTAAGTGGACCCGTCAAATTGTCCTACCTGGATTTGGTGGCTATGAATTAGCAACACTCGTCACACAAGAACTGCTATGAATATGTGGCAAAGAAGGCTGTAATCAAGAGAAAGCAGCCTTCCCCCTCACCAACAGGGTCTACTCCTTCTGCTTCACCAGTTACAAAGAAGACCAGGGTGATGACCCCTATCATTCAGGAGGAACTTGAAGACTCCATTCACTCTGCACAACCCAACAGAAACGCTTGGCAGGGCAAGCGGATTGTGTTTGAGTCAAGTGACTCAGAAGAGGAAGTAGTGGTGCAGGATGCCACTACTCAGGGGGAACCACACCTCTCTCCTCCTGCTTCTACAGTTGATCAACCACTGGTGGTTCCTTCACCAGAACACCAAGAAGCTAGCAGAAACTCAAACTCTGCAGATAGGCAATTCCTCAGGGTTCTTGCATGGAGGAAGTGGAGAGTGGGACCTCTCACTGAGCTGCTTAAAAATTCATCCTACTTCATCTCTGAGGAAGAAGAAGTAATCCGATGGGCTGACACAGAAAATGTGGAACAATGCCTGGACAAAGACTTCCTTCTTTCAGTTCTACAGAAAAAGAAGGAGAAATACCAGGGAAAATCTCCTCTGTTCAAAGAATCACCAGAAGACCATGTGAAGGCTCTTCAAGAGCATGAAATGGCTGATTTTGATGCTTGGCTGATTGAAAAGAAGAGAAAGGAATCTATGATCAAGTTTCGACATAGTGCACATGGAGAAGGGGAACCCTCCACTGCAAATGATATACCCTTGGTCATGGAGAGGCTGGTCAAGGAATGGAGAGATTCACAGTTCACAGAGACTCTACTTGAGGTAATTCCTGAATCTCCACTCTCACCCAGAATACCCCCTCCCTCTCCTAAAATCACTTCACCTCAATCACAACAGAAATCCCCCTCACTCTCACAAAAATCCATCCCCAAACAGAACACTCCTCCTATTCCCCAACAGAAAACCCCTTCACCCAAAACCAAAAACCCTTCTCCCTGCAAACCCCAACCCTCAAACAGATCCAGATCACCATCACCTCCACCCTCTCCTCCACAACAAAAGAAAGCTCCCTCACACCAACCTTCACATCAACAGGAAAACTCCTCTACCAAGAAATCCAGAACTCCAACCCCTTCTTCTCCAAAGTCTGCACCACAAGATGCCGCCATTCCTCTCTCCCCTCAACACTCTGTGGCTTCTACTCCCAGGAAGGAACCTATCATCAAGATTCCTTCCTCTACTAGTGATAATGATGGGTTCCTCACTTCCTCCATGGTTGCTGACCTTACTTCCAAAGTCCAGAGTCTTCGACATAGATTGATGTAGCATAGATGGTTCCTCACTTCCTCCTGGCTTCTACTCCCAGGAGTCTCTGACCTCACCACTCGTTTCACGATGGCAGATTGATGTAGCATAGATGGCATATATCAAAATAGAAAAGGATGTTCCAGGAAAGAAGGGAACTAGGCCTTGAAGGAAGGCATGAATGAGGGGAGACCGGTCTCAGGGCTGCAAGATATGCTACAAGGTTGAATCAGTCCACTAAGGTCTTATACATGATTTAAGCGAAGTGTTCAAGTGGGAAAAGAATACTTGAAATAAAAGCCTTCTATCCCACAGCTAAGGCATCCATCCAATACAGATAGAGCGTCATATAAAATGACTATATCCTTTTGAAACCACCTATTCCTCTCATCGACTACCTTCACTAGGGTCAAGATTCATGGTTTTTCTAAGGCTTTGGATTGCTTTCGTCTCTTTCCTTCTGGTATATATTTCCCTCTCCATTGCTCTTGTCCTTGCCCTTCTACTGGCTTGGCTAGAAAACTAGTCCCTTCTTTCAACACAACACAACGGAATTCTTCTCTGTTTCGCTTTCGCCTTTGGCCGCAAAGCCACTACCTACTTCTATTTCCACGTTCAAGCTGCTAGTCGAAGACCCACTATTTACTTATTTAGAATAGGATAGGACCATCGGAAATAAAGTCAAGTAGAATCCCGTGCTTTCGGGTGATTGCTCCACGCATTCAAATGCTACCCACGTGAATGCTAGTCGAATCCGTATGCCCTAAGATAAGCTAAGCTAAGCAGCTAGATCGATTCCTAGTAGCGGATTCAGCAAAAACAAAAACGTATTCTTCTTCTATGAAGACATCCGCAGCAGATTCCCTGGCCTCGGTTGACACATTCTTGACTTGAACAACAAGAGTGAGACGGATTCTCGGCAGCTCAGAAGGTAAGGTCAGAAGTAGATTCCCTTTATGGGGTACTTGACTAGGCCCGGGATCACTCTTATATATAATAAGATGGGCCTTGTACATACAGGTAATGAAATGCCTGCATTAAGATTTAAAACTTGTCGTCTACTTTCAGGAAATGTTTGGAAAATATTTAAAATATTCAGGATTTCATCGCCTTGACTTGATTCTTTGAATTCTACGTAAAAGTAAGGACTTAGCTTTGCCGGGGAAGGGAAGGACTTTATGGGTCTTGAACTTCTAATTGATGTATGATAGAGCCTCCTGCATATAGGCCTATCTCGCTTTGACTCTTCTCACGAATTGGATTTGAACCAATATCTCCGGGCGACTTTCCTTTTATTAGGTATTATTGCCCGTTCAGTTCCTCTACTGGTAGTCTAGTTGTAGTTTTGAGCGGGTTTCATAACAGAATCTGGAGAAGCTTTACAAAGTGGGTAGGTTCCTAGCTCAACAGAGGAAGGATCCCCAACATAAGGTAGCTTTCCCAAGGTCTACTTAAAGGTTTTTTTAGGTACTTACTCACTGGAGGGTACTCTACAAACGAAGACGGAGAGGGGGGAACACGTTAAGTTGCCAGTTCCGATCGAAGGAATAGGGGGCAAGGTGCTCGACCAACTAATCAGTATTGGGGAGAACTCATCTAGCTATTAGCTAAAGGTAGATTGCTTTCAAGCTACTCGGCTAACTAGGATCGGAGTGGTCTTGTTGACCTCTCGGAGTTTCACTGTGGACTGACTTAGCCCTTCACTTCTTTCCCTCACATTTACCTCACATCAAGGATCTTCAAGAGGGTGGAAAAAGGGCTTGCATCAAGGATTACTTGTTCTTTGGAAGGGAATCCACTTCTCCTCCTGACGTCAACCTTGCTTGCATTCATTCTCTAAGGATTCACAAGGTGAGTAATAGGCTATAGGCTCGACTGCAAGGAGAGAAGGAAGCAGTTTGACTTTCACGACTATCAGGGCACCTACTGAACTCTATCTAGTGAAGGTTTAGGCCCTCGGACAAGCTTTTTTCTTTCCTTGCGTCTCTGACTTCTGCTTCTGCTAGGTGAAGAAGCTATGAGACTATTTCAAGGCTTATTCGAGCCAGTCTAGTAGACATCGCTTTCTATCGGAACCGTTAGCCTCGCCCCATTCAAAAAGCTATTAATCTGATTCCCGAAGTCAAAGTAACCCACCTGGCAAGAGTGAAACTCTCTCCTTGACGTATTGATGGTTCCATCCTCTCTTAGTCTTTGCTCTGCCTCGTACTACCTTCGCTCCTAACTACCTAACGCCGAGCTAAGTGCCCTCCTTTCCATCTCCGTCTTAGTAGAGAGCTTCCACCTCCTTTCAGTTTAAAAGCCAGTTATTCCGAGCGGGAAGTCTTATGAATCTTCATTTTCACTTCTTTCAGATCAATGAAGTTGGAAAGTGATAGAGTAAGGTTTACAAAGCTGTCACTCCAATAACTCGAAGTAAAGCATCTTCGGGAATATCCAGATGAGTCTTCAACTAGAGGGAATCTCCTTTGCTCTAACCAGCTGATGTAGCGGTAAAAGATTCTATTCTTTCTGCGGTCTAGTTACGTCTTTCCTCTCCCTATCTAAAGAGCTCTATTAACATAGACCCTCTCCTGACTCTCTATCATTTTAAGAACGCAGCAAATCCTTTACAGCTCGCTCTGTCAGTCCACAAGGAATCTTGCTAGCGTCAAAGTCTGATTCTACTCGCTTTCTCTTTTTCTACCGGAATTGCTGCTTGAAAGAATTACCCAAAAGAGGCATATGAATATGTCGAAGAGGCCAGGAAAAACCTGTGAAACAAAGGCCTAAACGAATGAAAAAAAATGATGCTGATCTTGTATTCGGAGTTTGAAGAAGGAGAAGGAGTCCTCGACCCGCAACGGATAGAGGAGGATTTATTCAATCACAAGGCGGATTGAGGCGAAGACAAAACCTTTCGGAAAAGCA